TTCTTAATTTGACTCATATTTGACTGGTTACAAGTATTCAAACACCAATGTAACTGACACTGTATGTGAACAAAAACTAAAGAAAATGATGATTAAGTAAACGCTGATGTCGTCGTCCAGAAAGATAATAAAAGATTTCAAATTAAACCATTTACCTCAGAGAAACATAATAACACTAAAAGCTTCCGCCTAAAATATAAATCTTCACCTTTATCTCACTACTTTTGTAGGATTTATCATTGCGGATACATAAGTTTTCCCTCACTTGTGATTGGAATTAAATATTTAGTATTATAATCGCTCTTTTTCAGTAATAAAACATGCTTTAAGTTAGTTTTCGTAGTTAAACTTCAAATCTTTATTCTCTAAGTTACAACAATTTAAATATGACGAGGATTGCATCAGCCTTAATAGTTAATCCCTAATTTCATAGACTGGCGAGTGTCCTACAAGTTTATCATTCTAAACTCACTTATATTCGACAAAACTTAATCATGTTTATTATTGTATTAAATATTTCTTTGTGTATATTTATTACTTACTCATAGAAAAGTGACTCTTAGCTGCCCAGTTGTTCTGTCTTCTAAAACTCTCTCATTTTGGAACATTCGGTTACACAACACATCAATTTATAAAACTGAATCATACATTTGCAATTACACACACGTTAACTGTTTCCTTATAAAAATAACCAGATTCTCTTATCAGTTCAAATAACTTCATTATTCTTCATTTCATGAGTACTTACTTCCTTACTTACGCATGTTACTCCTAATGGAGCATAGGCCGACGACCAGCATTCTCCAACCCAATCTGTCCTGGGCCTTCTCTTCTACTTCCATCCAATTCTTGTTCATTTTTCCCAAGTCTATCTCCATTTCCTGGCGTAATATTTTCTTTGGTCTTCCTCTTTTCCTCTTGCCTTGAGGATTCCATGTGAGGGCTTGTCTTGTGACGCAGTTGGGTGCTTTCCTCAATATGTGTCCTATCCACTTCCAGTGCTTCTTCCTGATTTCTTCCTCCACTAGAATCTGGTTTGTTCTCTCCCACAGTAGATTGATGATAATGGTGTCCGGTCAACGGACCCGAAGTATTTTGCGTAGACAACTGTTAATAAACACATGTATCTTCTGGATTATGGCTTTCGTGATTCTCCAGGTTTCTACCCCATACAGTAGAACTGTCTTGACATTTGTATTGAAAATGCTGACCTTGGTGTTGGTTGACAGTTGTTTTAATTCCAGATGTTCTTCAGCTGTAAATTTGCTGCTCTTGCTTTTCCGATCCGCGCCTTCACATCTGCATCAGATCCACCATTTTCATCAATGATGCTGCCCAAATAGGTAAAGGTTTTTACATCTTCCAAATCTTCTCCATCAATTGTGATTGGGTTGGTGCATGCTGTGTTGTATCGGATAATCTTGCTTTTCCCTTTGTGTATATTGAGGCTTCTGCTACACTGATCATCTCCTGCATTTGTTGTTGCGAGGGGCCAGATCATCTACGAAGTCTAGATCGTCCAAATGCATCCTAGATGTCCACTGTATCCCGTGCTTCCCTTCAGATGTTGACGTCTTCATGATCGAGTCGATCACCAGGAGGAGGAAAAATTGTGAGAGTAAGCATTCTTGTCTGACACCGGTCTCTACTTCGAACGAGTCTGTGACCTGTCCTCCATGCACGATTTTGGAGTCATGAGTACCAATTATATATTTGTGATTTTAATTAATTGACTGAAGAAGCTCTTACCAGTTTGCTAAATGAAACGTTTGGATTGTTTAAATCTTAATCTATGAGATTGTTTCAAATATAATTTTATCATCTAATGTCTTTTATATACTTGAAGTCCAATTTTTGTCAAATTATTAGTTCAAATTTTGACAGACGTTTATACAAACTAATCATTTGTATCATTACAAATTTACTATTAGAACGTATTTAATAATCAACTTTTCTTTTTCTCTTACACCAAACTTCATGACCTTAATTTTTTTAATTCAAAATGATTTGTCTACTGATCTACCCGATTAAGACAGAGAAGTGATTGACCTCATAGTGATTATTACCATGGCTAGAATAACTTGGGATTATCAACTTAGAATTGATAAGTCTCTTGTTTTTCTTCTTTTTTCTTTTTCAAACTCAGAACAAACTTTCTTTTAAAATTACAAATAGGTTGTTTATTCCCTAATTTATTTATGTGTGTATCCATATGCATACACGTGTTAATGTGTACCACTTCAATCAGTATATAGTTTCATGATATTTATTAGAAAAGGTGTAATATTTCTCAGTACCATTCAGAGTGCAGAATAAAATTTTATTAAAATCAAAATTGTTTACGAGGATGCAGAAATGTTAACAGTTCATAGTAATAATTTGTACTTTATGTCTCAGTTACAAAATATTCTATATGAATGTATATTTGCTAATATATCAGTTGGGTAAATTAACATAAAGTATAACACAAAACTGAATCAGTTAAACTTATCACACTTTACAATAGCTTAATGAAATTCAATAAAAATAGTATACCATTAAAGTAGATAAGATGAAAAATAGAAATCAAATATTCCAAGATATAAATCACATAAAGATCATCTTTGGAACTGGTGTCAAATTTAGGCCATTTTAAATAGTGTTTTAATAGAGAGGTTTATAACATCAAATATAATCCAAGCTAATAGTTAAGGATCGATCTCCTACTTAAAGAATATTTTCAACAAGGAGCACATGAAAGAAATAGTTCTGTCCGGTGAAAATATTGTGTTTTAAGCACATTGAATATTTGGAGCGTTCCACTTTCAAAACGAATTACAGATTGCCTTTGAGATCACTACTCCATATTCCATAGTTTTCAATCATTTTTCAGATGATAATGGTTCATAATAAAAACACTATAATCAAAGACCTATATTCTGTCTTTAAGTTCTTCCACCTTAAATGTAAAATATCTCAACAAATAAGTTAACAGAGCAAAAATTTAATGACATTCTACTAACTACTGTAAATGATAATCTTTTTGCTAAATGAAACTCTATAAGAAGTTGAAAACCATTCTTACCATATTTCATTAGTGATGTGATTGGTTTAAGTAGTGCTTCAGTAATCGTTGTATTATCAGGATGTATGTTATAAATTAAATATAATATATCAAATCCATTTTTCTTCTCGTCCTTTGGTTCGTCTTCTTCCATTTCATCAGTAAATTGTAAAGCAAAATATTCTAAAATTCATGACATAAATTAAAAACTAATAGAACCTGAAAAATTACACCTAAATCATGCCAATTACTGACAAAACAGTTAACACCATAAAATAATACGAAAGTAAGTTATAAATGAATAACAACAGGTGACTGGGCGCATTTTGTTTGTTCGTTTAGTAGTCATTCTTACAATAAATCAGTCAGTCAGCCTTCATCAACCTGGAGCCTAGCACAGATGTACATAAGCTCAAATTCTTACACCAAATTATGGTTAACATGAGATTAAAATAACAAGTTGAGTAACAAAACCGATCGAAAATAGTGTAGTGACAATAATAATAATAATAAGGAAAACTGAATATTGAGATCATAGTTTAAAATGGATGAATGAAAGCGTATGTATGACAAAATGGCAGAATTCAAAATCAAGAGGTATATTGTTGTTAAGTTTACAAAACAATTTACCAATAACAAGAAACTTCAAAATATCTACGGATATATTTGTTTGAATTTTAACTGAAAATGATCAACTTTCTTTGATGGTACATAAAACATAATCGGTATTGATGAACAAAGGAACCTGCTGCTAATGACTGATTGATTTAATGAGTAAAACCAAGAAAAATAAAATATCAGTTTGACATTTAACTAATCAGTTATTACAATTACACAATCTAAACATACATTTACCTTGATAGAAAGAAAAAAAGTTTACAACTTATCATCATGAAAAACATCCTCAAGTATTAGTGAATTTTTCTTCCTGTCTAAATTCCAGAAGAACGAAGTGTAATTAGATGTGCACACTTGGTGGAATAAAAGTACTTTACAGTACTGTGTGAGGTATACAAATTATGCTGTAAAAATACCATTCGACATAGAACTAACGTGAAAACTTTGCGTCTGAAAAAAGCAATCATTAATCAATGATGTGAATGTATTATGTTAAAATATATTTTGTGAGTGTTTCAGTCAGTCAGTCATGACCACCTTAGAGCCTGGGATAAACGTACGTCTACCTACATTTCTATAGCATATTGGTGCAACGAAGTGAAATGAAATATATGAGTGACAAAGCAATCGAAATAGTATAGTAGCAGTGATAATGACTGCAACTAAGCACTGAAAATTTGGTAAGTATACAGATTTTATGGAGATTATTGAATTTTGATGATTTACATCACTGAATACTTTTAGTTAAACAATAATTGTGTACTGAGAAGCGTCGAATAACTATTTCGTTCTAATACAAGACTCAGAATTTTAAAACCTCCACCGTGTATACGAAAATTGAACCCAGGACATTTGGTCTTGGGCTACCATACTTAACCTTTAAACCTCAGAGCGAGTATCAAAAGTTATTATTATCCAACTTTAATAGATTCACGATATTGCGTAACCCTTATCCATTCCCTATGGTGTATAGCTGTCACATACTCATCATGATTGTACTCCGCTAGTCACGGATTCCTACTAAAACTTCAGGAGTTGCATCTTAAAGCTTGTCACTAATAAACACATGACTATTAATAGTATACCCATTTATTTAATGAATACGTGATAACGACAGGTTCTCCGTTTATTTTCAGAATACAATGATTCTTTTATCCATACATAACTTGATTAAATATGATCATTTTAACATTGGCTTATTTTTCACATTTTCACTAAGATCATAACAATGTCAAAATGATAAACAAATTAGAAAAATAACAATGATAACAAACAACATAGTGAATAAATAAATCGAATTACATAACAGTCAGAAGCTCTATCATAGAGACATAGACTATTATAATTATTTTATTGCTTAAGTTTTGCTTAAGCATAAAATTGACAAGAATTCTCTCCTTTTATTGTTATCAGAAATATTTTCATCAATTTACCTAGTAATAATAATAAAAAGAATAACGAATCAATTTTCATTGTTTTCATAATAAAAACTAAATTAAACTATTGCAAGTAAACAAAGATGGATAGTGGCTACCGGTAGAATCTAGAACATGCGTTTCGTCCTATTTGGACTATCCATCTTTGCTTATAAAGCTTGTGAATTAAGGCAATATCATGGCAATCCCGTACAGTATGCACATATGCGAATAACAGACCGATCAATTGCAGTCTGAAACTCAATGGGAAGACTCAAGTAAAACAACACCAAGTATATATTGAAAGTCAACGTTAAATTTATCAAAATAACAACAAAAAAGGAAAAAAGAATCTTCCCTAAAACAACTTCAGATTATAACAGGAAATTGATTGGTTTCATGAAAAAAAGAAAAGAAAACTTGTTTCATGTGTTACATTCAATGAGAAAATATAGTTTAACGTTTTGCTTTAAAATGACAATGACTGAAATGAATTTTTGCATATTTTTATTATTTGAAAAAAAAGACACAAATTTGACTAGCCTAATCAATATACACACAGATAAACGCAAACACACATAGTGACATGTGACAGGGTATGGATGTTTAAAAATGGTCAACTGTTTATAAAACTTGAACTGACTTCATTGGTTTGAAATCATATTTGTAACAATTTTATTTCTATGTAGTAACACACCAAATGTCGAAAATGGATAGTGGCCAGCAGTGGAATTCAAGATGTGCGTTTTGTCGAATTTTTGGCTGATCAGCTGGATATACCTGCATTTCAAAGTTTATGTTCACTCAGGTACTCAAGCCAAGTGCCATTTACTTCAAACACCATCGCGTTATCCACTTAGCTGGTGAGTTCGTTTGAAGAGAACTATACTAGATTCGTGTCCCAGGGTAGACATCAACTCTGGAATACAGGTTCATCCAGCTGACGAGTCCCAGATAGGACGAAACGCGCGTCCTCTGTTCCACTGCTAGCCACCATCCATCTTTGTTTAGAATGCTTGTGACTTAAGGCAATACTGAGGAAACCCGTACAGGATGCACATATGCCAACAAGAGACTGATCAATCTCAGTCCTAAACATCAATCAGAAGGTTCAAACAAACATTGCAAAAAGAATTAATATATAAGTCATAATAATGCTTATTAGAAGAAAGGGTTACTAAAGTGTCTAAGGCTTAATTGACTCAATTTGAAACAGTTGACTAACTGGCTGAAATTTCACTTATTCTTTAAAATTATGCAATATGCAGCTTAATTAAATTACAGTAAAAATGTAATCCGACGTTTAATTTTTAATGAAAAGAAACCGTTACGTGAGCGGTGTAAACAGCATCCTGACAATTTTTTAGTTCATATATTGTTACGTACTTGATATTAATCAAATTAAAACTTACGCAATCAACTCAGTTAAGAAAGTCACTTTATGAATGTGATGAATGTAGTTGTAGAAAGGCATTCACTAATGTGCCATCATCAACCATCTCTCTTCGTAATGTGTAATAATGACTATGGATATTAGTAAATGAAATCCATACATTAAAATGCTTGTTCCACCAATGTAAATTAAAGCGGAAAAGCAAATAATTTCCTTGTAAAAACTTTCAGATTCCAAAACATATCTTCTACCAACGATGAATTTAATTAATTCAACGTTAGATATGTTCATTCAGATTGCTTTTATATTAGCTGCCGAAATTTTAGAAAAAGGTTAATTCGCAGAATAAACTGTTGCTCAGACTCCTTGAATCTTCCAAATTGTTGCGAAAACTTCCTTGAATGCTTAATGTGATGAAATGAGTAGACTATGCTTAGCAAAGTAATCTCAAATAGTTTATTTTTAATCAATATTTCTTAACGATACCACATTCTGTTGTCGCTACGCGCTTATTTCAGAAAACACTAGAAATGTGCATTTTCGAGCTCAAGTCAGTAGTATATTTTACGAAGTGATAATTTTAAAAATCATAAATCATTCAGATGAGGAGCGGACAATAGACAATAATCTGATCCAGGTATTATTAATTTCAAAAATTTATATCTCAAAATTGATGTATTCAAAAACTAAATAAACCAACTTTTGTTGACATGTAAACTGTTTGAACAAATACATCAATACCATCTGAATAAATGTATTTTGATTTTGACTACAAATGAACTCAAGAATGTAAATTTTGTCCTACAAGTTCGTATAATATTGAAGTATGAATATAAGATGCTTAGAGTTTACTTAACAATAACAACTCAATGAAAAAGTAAAATTATAGATGATTTTTAAGTTTGTCAAATGAAAATACACATCAGCTTAATAAAATTATAATTCATATCAGCTATAAGATAATCATTAACATTAAAACAAAAACAAAAATAAATAAATGAATACCAAGGATGATTGATTCTTTTATCGTTTAATTTTTTTTTCTATTTCTTGCCGAAATATGTATAACATTAGACGATGTTGTCTAGCTTAGATCAATTTGTGATTTCAATGATATTTCTAAAGACCCTTCTTTAACACTTCATTTAAACGCACATATTTTGAGATATCTCATATAAGTAAAGAGAAATTATTTACAACACATAATTATAACCATTAATAATAATTTCATATACAAAGAAACACGCACACGTACATATCTATATAGAAGACGTTATAAAGACTTACCAGACAAAGATATCACAATTTGTAAGCATAGACATATATTCCAAATAGTTATTGGTAAATTTTTAAATTGAATTAAACCATGCAGTAGAATATACATTAACTTATTGTATTTTGTAATTTGCCTTTTAATTTTATCTTGTTATGTAATAAAGAAAATAATTATTCATACTTTAAAACGATAGAAATATTGTTTCAATTGGAACATTAAACACTTTTTTTCACTTAAGTATCAAATAAAAAAATTACTGTTTATTATGAGTCAGTTGAAGTTAGACCACCATGAAAAACCGGAGAGCACTGGACTACCGTTTTGTCATAGTATGGGACGCCTCAACAGTGCGCATCCGCTATCCCGCATCATGCGAATTGAACCCAGGACCTATCAGTCTTGCAATAGAATGCTTAACCTCTAGACCACTGAGCCAGCATCTAATGGTGTTAATGTCTAACTTTAAACAGTTAGAATTTTTTAACTTTATTATCAAACATTGTATGAAAACTATGTTTTTTGGAATTTATATTTAATCTGCTTTCATTAGAGTTTGATGTTTTAAAAGTGAAAATGTTATGACAACGATAATTTTTTTAAGAAATGAACACTGAGAATTGTACTATCCCAAACATGAATTCAAGACTTTCAAGTTACTTATTTCATACAAAATTATTCAGTATAGAAGGAGGATGACTTGTGAGATTACATAAGTTAGGGGTTCAACGCATTCACCTATAATTCTATACAGATCAATAAATTTTTACGACTTCGTTCAATGATATATTTGCTGAGAGAGACTTTTAAGATCCCGAGTCCGAATTTATGTGCAGTTGAGGAATTGCTCTGCTATGAATTCTGAAACTGATACAAAATAAATAATCACTCCTATTTGGATTTTCTCCAAAGTTCTCCAGTTAAAGTCAGTCAATGACGAAAATTACTTTAAAACTACCAAAATGACAGATTTTATCAAAATAATGTTATTTAACGTTCATAGTTTTCTACTAGAATAAGAATTAGACGTATCAATGAGTTCGATTAAAACAAAAATTGTTGACATTGATGACGTTTCACTTCATGCGATCAATATATTCATTCTATTTCTATATCAAAACAATCATTTATGTATGTATTTGGCATTTTCATTCCAGACGTAAACAACATTTAAAGATTTATATTTCCATTTCAGATTCAGATTTAATAGTGATAACACTTATCTATCTCAATTGTTATATTTCATAATAGTTTGCAGAGTTATAAAGTTATGTGCGATTCAGGAACTTTCTATATTATTAAACGAGGATTTGTTTCAAGATGTCATTATTCCATGATGAAATCATATGGAAAATTAAAACTTTTAGTATTGTCAGACAAACTATGAAGATGTTTCGCTTTTCTTGGATAAAAAAAAGCAGAAATTTTTTTTATTTACCCCAAAATCTGATATCCTATACAGTACAAAGGATATGATGCTTTCATTTAAATATGAAACGACGAGTAGCCAAGTGGTATAGTACAAACTACTCATTCAATATGTGATTATTTGACCTCTGATAGAACTTAGTAAATTGAACAAATCATATCTTTATAGTTCAGTATTGTGAAACTGAAATCCAGAAAATGTCTATTTGTTCAAAAGACAAAACCATTTCAATGAAAGACTAAAACTTTGTTGAACATCCAAGTATTTTTATTTGTCTCTGAGTCATGTGAATCATGGTTTCTTTTGACAAATATCAGCTTTCGGCGGTAAAAACAATATTTTCATGTATAGTTGTCGATCATTTAATGAAACTACAAATGATACTAATTTAACATCAACTCAAGACATTAATAAATGCAAATTACTAAACTTACCAATACGTAATAAAGATACAATAATCATAGAACCATTGGCAAAAATTTCACTGTCAAAATGATTAGACTCCATTAGATTCACAGTGATAGATAATGCGCCTTTATCGGCTGCTTGTAGAGCAATCGGTTCTTAAATAGGAAGAAAATAAAAGTAAAAACAAATAAATAAATAAATGTAACTAGTTAGGCTACCATTTTGATATTTTGATATTAAATTAGATTTGGCGTGACGGATGCAAAATAAATCTTTAATATCAATCGGTTCATAGAGTATTTTACTCGATTTTTAGGTAAATAAAAGTCAAGTTATTTTTTTAAATCATCGAGTAATAGACTACTCACAGTTACGTCTAACATGTTAGTTTATTGTCAAGCAAACAATAATTGAAACTTCTCGTTTTATGGCAAACTCCACTCACAAGATTGATTATAAGTAGTAAGTAGTGGAACATGACCTCAGAGCTTTAACAGTCATCGTACGAAGAAAAGTTTCAGTATGTCAAAAGCACGACATATGAACAACACTTGATGATCAGACGAGAAGACATTAGGATTTCAGAACGAACTGCAATATGCTAATGGATAATCAAATGTTATGTATACGTAAAACGTGGAGAATATGTAATCTCACTCAATACCTTGTTCAATAACCTATATAATTCTTGTGAACTCTTTCATAAATGGATATTTTGACTATTTATACATGAATTAAACTATAAAATAGTGTCATCATTTAGTATGTTGTGAATCCCATAGATATATTAGATAAAGCATAGGTTATTGATTCCCTATGTTAAACAGATAAGTTCAGATTTAAATATCTTTCAATTGTCTGTGATGGAAACCGTTTTAAAATTGAATAACCCATATAATTCCAGCTAACTCACATGACCATAACATTTCTCACATTAAATATAATATTTGGAAAGGAATATATTCATTAAAGAATACACATAAAAAAGATATACACATATAGGTCGAATGACATTATTAATTTGTATACACTACTCGATAGTTTGTTCACACAAGCTGGATAGGAAGTAATTCAGTACCAAAATGTTTCAAAATATTTGAATGTCTGAAAAACCAAAGCCTCAATCAGTCAGATCATCATCCAGTCGCGAAACATAACTCATGGACCCAGTATTCAAATAAAACTTTTTTTGTAATGAAGACTAACAACAATTTTTAGCAGCTCAAATTTAAATATGTAAGACGCAGTCAGTTGTTTAGTCACACAGTCACTGTTTCACTATGGAGAATAAATAAATTATCCTTAAATATATTTTACTTGGTAACATATTTTTCTGCATACAAATAAAAAAAGGTTAAACGTCTGCGCGCTAGACTGATAGGTCTCAGGTTCAAATCTCTCAGGGTAAGGTCATGGATGCGCACTGCTGAGGAGTTCCACACTAGGATGAAACAGCCGTCCAGTAATTCCAGGTTTTCCATGGTGATCTAGTTTCAATTAACTCATAAATTCAATTAGTAAAAAAAAACTTATTAAAAACAAACAATTAATTTATATTTTTTTGATTGAGATCATGAACCGATTGATGTCAGATCACCATTGAAAACCTGGAAGCATGGAACGGCTGTTTCGACTATCACAATGCTCCTTAGTAGTGCTCATCCACGATCCCGCTCCAAAACAGTTCGAACCCAGGACCTTCGATCTCGCATGTGAACACTTAACCTCTTGAACACTGACTCTGCATTCAATGGTGTTAATGTCTAACTTCAACCAATCCACAAGATTGCACGACCATCTTCCATTGTAGTGAGATAGATACCTGTCTCTACCCGACATGGCTTAGCTACACTGGTCACGGCATCTCACTAGAACTCCGAAACTTTTCTCACGAAGCTAGTCACTAGTGAGCACATGGTAATTATCAGTTTAGGAGTTGTGTAGATTATTAAATTTTTTGATTGAGATTATGAACCGATTACTGTTAGACCACCACTGAAAACCTGAAAGCGCTGGACGGCCGTCAATATTAACACTAATGGATGCCGGCTCAGTGATCCAGTAGGTTAAGTGTTCGCGCACGAGACTGAAGACCCTTGGTTCGAATTATACGACAAAACGGCCGTCCAGTGCTTCCAGGTTTTCAATATTGGTCTCATATCAATCGATTCATGATCTCAGTCAAAAACTTAACAATCTCCACAACCTCTAAATTGATAATTAATTTTTATATTTGAAAAAAAGAATTAACTTACCATATATACAAAATTTCCATAGATAACTAATACCTATTTTAATTATATCTTTATTAGTTGTATAATTTAATAATTCAATCAAATGATGACATAAATTAATGGTATGAAGCTTTTTAAATATTTTATTATTTATCTGTAAATAATCATTTATTATATTTAAATTGATAAATGTAGAATAATTTCTATGGATAAGTGAATTGAAAAATTTTAAGCCTAATCTCTGTGCATTGACATGTTGTAAATAGTTTTGCATTATGATTAATACAAGATATAAATTGTATATTTTACAAATCTTTTTAAAGTGGTTACTTTCTTTTAATAGTTTATATAAAGATGATGATGATGATGATGAAGACGAAGAAGAAGAAGAAAAAGATCGGTTGCTAACATCTTCACAAGGATGTCTTGAACATGTTAACATAGATTGTAACTGTTCATTTTCAACTGAATGAATTATTATCTTTAAAGATGATGTAATAATTGACAAATTAGCTTGATGTAAATACATTAGCTGAAATAAATGAGATGACAATCTATGTGTTAAGTTAATATGATTATCGTTTAGAATATTTTCTGCAAACCAAACAACAGCTTTCTCAATACAATTCTCATGTTGCCAATTGACATGAAGATATTTGATTTTTGCTTCCATAGTATCATTCACTGGGAACGGCTCTTTAAAATCAAAGAAGAATTTTTTTAATAAAGGTGAAAATGAAAATTTCATAACATTCAAGTTATACGTTACTACTTACGTCATATTAATAATAAACTGATGATATCAGTCGAGAAGAACGAATGTGAGCACTTCTGAGGTATGTTACTCATTGCCCACAACTGTTAGTTACTTTCATCGCCCATGCACCAATCAGATAGTCTGTACGTATGCATTTGGCTCAACCCAAACTTTGAGTAACAGGCGAAAGTAAGTAAGTAAGTAAACTTTGTGACCTGATACAACTCATAAAAAGGATTCACTGACATACAGTCATATCGTTTGCATGGTACCATTACGATAACTTCAGATTACTGAGTCTAATAATGTACATTTCTAACTTCAATAAAATTGAGGTATATGGATTCCCCAAACCAATGTACTTGATCCACCAAATTCTCGCTCTTGACATGGTTGATTCCATACACTACAGATTCTCAACAGACCTAATAAGTTGATTTTCGGTGCACTACTGAGGAGAAACAAACTATGATAAAATAATATTCTAGGACTTTATACTTTTAATGGTTCTCTAACTAAAGTTATCGTGCAATGAATGTTACCTTCAAGATATACGGTAACTTCTTGTCGTGATATGAAACAATAAAAAGAACTTTCATTTAAGCTTGGAACCAATGAGTCAGTCATATTTTCTGTTGTGTTTCATACAAACAGTATACTACAGCTCACATATCTTTTTAGTAATTATTTTAATTTTTTTTAAAAACATGTTAACCTCATATTAACATTCACTTGTTAATTCTACATAGTGACACTATTTGTCATTAAATTCAAAAAAGTCTTCCTCAAAATCAGTATTCTCAAGTTAGTCAATGGCACTGAAAAGCACCATAATCAAGGGATATGCGCTTAAAATCCTCAGATAAGTATAATAACTACAAGGATAGGTGAGTTCGATCATAACTAAACATGTAATACCAATTTCGTTTACCATTAGTATGCGTCATTAAGATTTATCAAAAACACAGATATATTAAAATTTTCGGCAAATACTAATAACTTCATGTGTAATAGTAGTTACCGTAGGAAACGATTTAAACAAACCTAAGAGTGATCGGAAAATATTTTCTACCAGTTCATAAAATCACTAACTATTGAAATAAATCGTGTTGAGGAAGTAAAGATATCGTAGTTCAGAATAATACATCACAGTGGAGCAAATAAATTCATTCTTTGATTTCCTCTAAATCTACAATTTCTGTATTATTCCATACGTTTAACTTCCTTATTTTATTCGGAATTTAGAACTTTAAACCATATCTTCAGCTTTTCATTATCAGTTATATGAATATTAAGTTGATTTTGCTAATTTCCTCTTGATTTTTTAGTGTTCAGAATTGAAAATTGAGTCGATGTGTCAATCTAGCAGGGCATTCCAGCAAATTCATAGACGGTCAAACTCATCATTATTATTGAGTCGTAATTCAATAATCTATACTTTCATCTTTAAACAACTTACGATTCAACACAATAGCCATCATTGTTAACGATGATAACCATCTCCGTAATGAATCAAACGACTACAAAAATCTTTCAAGTTTTGTGATAAATACGATATTCCAGTTCACTTGCTGTGTATGTAGAGGTAAGTTAAATGATTTATCTGACCTCAAATTTCCACATTAGTTGATTGATTAATTATTGTAGTAGAATAGTTGTTCATAGGTAGACTTAGTAGGTTATACTATCATGTTAAGTTTATCCATTTTAATATATAGTTATTAATAAACTTCAGTCTTGGGATATATTTTTCCTCCGATTATTTTGAAAGAAATAAAAACTAACAAATATCCAGCAGAGATTACAGTAAGATTTATAAAAAGAGTTAAAAAGCACAAAATTGTCAATCATACATAAAGTGACAGCAATATATAAAATTTCAGTTATAAACATTTTTATCAGTATAGGGGTCCAGTGGTCCAGTAGGCTAAGCGTTCGCGCGAGAGATTGAAAGTCCTGGGTTAGAATCCCGCGAGCGGGGTCGTGGGTCCGAACTGCTGAGGAGTCTCACAATAGTACGAAACGGCCGTCCAGTGCTTCCAGGTTTTCAATGGTGGTCTAACATCAATCGGTTCATGATCTCAATTATAAACATTTTTGTCGCTACACTGAACAATAATTTAAATACATTAGGTGAACATTATTGATCAAATCATGATATTTATCCAGAATATGGTCATCTAAGTCAGAACTTGATAATACATTTACTTCTCTATACAAACACAGTTTTATTCTCTTTAAGAGTAATTAACAACTGACTTGGTAAGAGTCCATAGAGTAAGCGTATCAGATCGTTTTTATTTTGCGTTACAAAGCAATATTATTCGTACACATTAGCGGGTATAAAGGCATTTCTTAAGTGTGGATAAAAGAAACTTCTAACCACAAAGTGCTGAATTAATGCTGAATCAGATTGCCTATACTCTACTATACATGCTTATTGAATAATATATCATCCATTAACAAGTTGTTAGAAAGGTTAAAGAAAAACACTTTAGTAGAAAAACAACAGATCAGTCAGTAGCTTCAGATTCGGTACAGTGGTCAAGCTTGCCATCCATAGTGACTCTATCGAGCTCTAATAGCTGGAACACTTGTTCCTTTAGCTTCAAACAGATCTTTTGAAGAACGATGAGACTAAAACCTATGGTTCGAGGGCGATTATATGCCCCTACTGTACTTAGGAACAACAGAAGACAGCAAGAGACTCCAGATTCCTAGCTAATGGAGCCTGTTGTTTGGTTTTACTTAGGGTTTGAACATTGAAAACTTTAATATGAAGTCCATAACTCTGTTGCCAGAAAATCACAAAGAACATTTCCTTAACTCAAATCTTTAGTATCGGTGGCACGCGGAAAAAATGTGAGGTCATTGGAACAGGGGCGATAGTAGGGATCGCAAAGATCTTAAAAACGCTTGAAGAGATTTTGTCGTGAGCAAGATAACCTAAAGTTCTGTTAGACGTATGTGAAAAGCCGTTACTCCCTATTTCCTGACATGGCAAAAAGGGACTTTTCTTGAGGTACATGGGAAAGAAACTGGGTTGGTTATGATCTTGTTGACCTGGTAGCTTGGCCCCAGATTTTGAAGGACAAGCGCTCGAAGCCTGTTTTTGGAATTTAAGGGTATTTCGTGATGTGTTGACTTCTTCCAAACTGATTCTGAAGTAACATTTAGCACTTATACGGCGACAAGCAGATCTCAAACACCTTAGCATTGTTCCTCAAGGCAACTGGAAGACTGGATCTTACCAGTGTCTTGATTAAGAGGAACTTTATTGTCCCCCTACTCTAATTCAACAAGGAGATCTCCCAGCAGAATATTAATCTATGAAAATTCAGAGGGCGAAAGCGACTTTGGTAATAGAAAATATCTTACCAAGTTAAATAAGAATAGTGTGAATGGATAACCCTAATGAACATCAGTTGACGCTATCAGTTCAGATGACAGTTCACCATAACTTGTGATTTAAGTGAAGAGCCTTTACAAGGTTCATATACTTCTTTCGTGCTTCTTCCAACGATATTCATTGTTATAAAACCTCTCAATCAATGGAGTCGAATGCTGCCATAGGGTCAAGAAATATCACTATTGTCGAATATCGATAAGTATATCTATGGATAGATATCATTCACGAACTAGGTTAGTTATTTGTCAGGAAGTAAGTAGTTCAAATCATAGTTACCATTTTGTCTCCACAAACACTCTACACTAGTCTTAATCATATACTCACTAGTAACTAACTCCGTCTCTGGTGTTTTAAGAAAAAGTCCTGAACATTGATATTTAACCTTGTAGGACGTAAAATAGGTGTTATCAAAGCCGATGAATGGCGATCACGTTATACAATGAATTGACTAGCATTGAAAATGTAAACTATTAGATCCCAAATCTGTCGTTCAAAGGTCGAATGATCATTGTGAAATCTAAAGGTCTTGGTTTCATCTCTGGAGATGGCATGAATCCACACCCTTGATCGACCAGATAACAGAAAAAAACAGCCATCTGATGCTCCTTGGCTTTTAATGACTGCCTAACTAAAATTCTTTCCTGTTGTGAAACTTTAAGTTAGTAACATACTATTTCTGTGTCACATCTATTTTCCAGACTAACAAGTCACTAACAAGCTATTCAGTATTATTTAGTGCATGTAAAATAAGGTAAAAATTCATTAAATAGATTACAAAGATATACAGACATATACGTCACTAAAAACTATTTATTATGTGTAAGAGAGAGATTTTTCAACTGTATCATACAATTTTAACAATTAAGTTTCACACTTCTAATGGTTATGAGTGATTAGCATTTATTATAATACTATTTTTCTCCGATATACGGAATATAAATAACTGACTATCGTAATATATTCATTTACATTTTCCTTCCAAAATTATTACATTCATACTTTTCAGGAAAAAATGACTGAATAATTAATAATTGGTACTTCGACTTCTTCTTCTTCTTCTTCTGCTGAAATGCATTTTATTCCTGACTATCGTTATATACTACTTATATGTATATAAGTAGCGCACACCACAGTGGGACCCAGGACCCATTATTTCATCTCATTAAAGACTTGTCAGTTAAACGTGATTCCATCCTAATGTTGGTGTTCACATCGGGACTCACTCCCAGTACTTTTGACTACAAATGTCAACCTACTGTCCACTGTTCAGATGATCACATACTACTTATGTCTGTCGACTTATGTAGCATACACCATAAACATGTTTGATATTTATAATATTACTAGTAAGGGTTTGAATGTTCCCTCCGTTAATTTTCAGCACAGAAGTTTCAGCAGTCTTCGTTGGTAAATGTTTATCTAGTGTGAACTACCTCGATATATCTATTTTTCTTCAGATTGAATTCAAGAAACGACTATTTCCGTTTCTGTAAATATTAAGTTTTCTTGTCTGGATAATTTTATTGTTACAATTAAAACTATTATCCCACAAGTATGAAGACCCTCCATTCTGATGATAACTTTTGTAAATATTTATACACCACATTAAATAAACAACTTTCGTTATCCTATGTAATCAATTTTAGCTCCATTTATTTCATTAAAAATTAAAAAATCACTATGTTGTAGCTTTTTCTAGTTATCACTGTAAACAAATTATTGAATAAGCCATCGTTCCCCATTTTGGTCAGTTGCCCTTAACAAACATATACATGTAGTCTTCAGTCATTAAGGCGATTACCTATAATGCTCAGATATCTGGAAAAACTAACTTCACTGAGATCGCGGGCCAATTTAAGATAAACAACCACCAGAAAGCACTTGATATTTACCTCAACCTAGTTTGAGATTCCCCATCAGTATCTATACATGGCCCCACATCCAAAAATCAAACCTAAGATCTCTAGTCTCTCATACTAACGTTTAACCACAACACCACTGAAACGCTATCCAGTAGTGCACTAGTCTAACTTTAGTCATCCCACGATATTGAGCTATCCCCCTTTCATTATCTCCAGTTAGTACCTACCTCACATCATTCACGGCTTCTCGCTAGAACCACAGATAAGATCGCTTCGTGATTTCAATAAAAGTCAATTATTTCCACTACCCTATACTTGCTAAAACTAATATATTTGTGATAATTAACAGAGGCGGCTGTTACACTGGATATCTTCATCTGCATTTGTTGATGTGTAGAGGATGAAAGAGCCAGGTCATCTGCGAAGTCCAAACCCTCTAGTTGCGTGCAAGATGTTCATTTAATTCCGTGCTCCTCGTCGGATCTGGAGGTTTTCATAGTCCAGTCAACCACCAGAAGAAAGAGAAACTGGAAGATTAAGCAGCGTTGTCTGACTCCGGTTCTCAATTAGAAGGCGTCTGTCAGCTGTCCTTCATGCACCACTTTTTAGTATAGTCCGTTGTATGAATTTCGAATGACGTTGACAATCTTTTAAAATACACTATAGTGCCGAAGATAGTTCCATAAGGTTCTCTCAAAATTGAAATTAAGTAATTACATCAAAGGAAACTCAACATAAATATTGAGATCATTAAACTTACTGTCAGCTACTGTTACAATGCATCGTTTAGCTCTCATAATAAATTCTGGATTTGTATGTTTCAAAAGTACTTGAACATATAAATCGTCTAAAAGATCACTATAAGATGGAAAATAAAATTAGCTGAACATTTCCACCAATGAAATATTCGTGTATCAAAAAAAGATTCACTAAATATTATATATATATACTAAATACTTTACAAACAACCGAAAGACATATGTAAATTAAGCTCATTTCGGAGGAACCTGTTCATTAAATCCATCGACATAAATACAATATCTGGACACAATAAAATTAAATAATAAACATTTTACCTACAGTATAAGTAGAATCCCTCATCATCTGATTATCAAAAACAGAACTATTAGCTTTTCGTATCAGCCTGCCTTAAAGAGTTACAAACAACTTACTCACTTAATTACGTCTGTTAATCTCAGTGAAGCATGGGCCGCCTGGAGCCCCTCTGGGGCTGCTTCCGGTCTCAAGCTCGGATAAAGGAGGAGAGTTGTGCATGGGATTAGTGACCCCATCTCGTAGAAAAATAACTCGCTAGAAAAGCGCTAACCAGAAAAAATAATTCAAACCATTTAAACTCTGCCCTGGGAGTTAGAAGGTCTTCATTTGGAAGAGTTATGACGTCTCGCAAAGGAAGCCGAGTTCCTTCGGAAGTCACGAGGCTGATGCCCCTTCTGACAACCATAGCAACCATTAATTTAGGTACATGAAATTACAAACAATGTCTCAATATATCCATTTAATGCTCCTTAGTTATCCTATGATTTTCCCAATTGATTATAATCTTTAAAGAAGAGTCATTTTAATTAAAACTAATCATCATAAATCCTTCAGGTTATATATGTAATGCTCAAACTGTGTTCTCATACTTGTCTACATTACGTCAATATTTATTCAATCAATCTAACAGTATAAAAGACAAACTACAATAATTGAGAATGGCCTTAAAAATTTTCATAAAACAAAATGATCATTATAATTGTGTGTTTTTCTTTAAAGTTACAATCATTTACAGCTCTGGTCGATAATAATAATAATAGTAACACAATAAAATGATTTTAATAACTTTTTAATTCATAAATCAAAAAAATTAAAGTGATAATCCAGCTGATGATGATGATGAGGATGAAAAAATTTTTTTAATTATGTAAACTTAATTATTTCAAACAGCATTTGTAAACATTCACTTGATGTTGTTTTACTTGTATCTTCTCATTGTTATTTAGGGTTCGAGTCCCGGAGTGAACATCAACTCTGAGATGCAGGTACATCTAGCTGACGAGTGCCAAATGAAACGAAACGCGTGTTCTAGAATTCACTGCTAGCCACTATCCATCTTTGCTTAAAATAATGTATAGTTCCTTGGATAAGTTTCTTTAAAACTCGATTGTTTTCTGTCGCGTTTGTCCTTTCTTTTATTTATTTATTTTAACACAGAGATTGGTACAAGGAGGCACCAAATACATATGTGTCACATAAATCGAATGATTTATGTGAGGCCTGTGATACTGCCCGGGTGCCCAAACCGAAGCACGTGGTTTTCTCAGAGGGCCACACTCGGAGCCTTCGACATGAAGGTCTGATCCACAAGGCAGTGTAGCATCGTAAAGAGATGCAGGCCTATGGTAGCCGGTGACCAACGATTGGTTCATAAGCCATTTGTTCCCTCGGGGTACTGGAGCTTTTCCGCACCGTTGGTTTGGAATCAGGGTTTTTCAACTTCCCTAGGTGGACTCTGCATGTCCACCAACCCGTTTAAAGCGCCTGACATTCGCTTTTTGTCCTCTCAATCTCATAAGCAACACCCGAGCCACGAGAATGCAGTGAGTAGGACTTCCCTGGCAGAGGATATATTCACGTGTGGGAGCATTTGGAGAGGGAGAGCAGACTCTCCCCACTTTCTGCCGAACCAGGGCATTTGGGGGCTTCTTTCTTTTAATTCTTTGCCAAATAAAGTTTTTAAACACTTAACTTGTAATAATCTTTATCCTTCAATGTAAAAACAAGAAATAAAATGAAAAATTTTTCCTTGTATTCTGTTCAATATTCAACTTACTAATAAACTGGAAGAAACAATTTGAAACAATTAAAAACAATAATCAGTTTTAATGATTATGTAATTTTAGAAAAACTAGTGATATATCATTTTATTTCTATACAGAAAGAAAAAAACGAATGACTTACTTTAAGCTTATACGCTCAGATGGATTGTTTTTCATCATTTGAGAAAGTAACCTAAACAGTTCTTTGTGTGTTTCCTTTAGTTAAATAAACAAACAGGTATGAATTCCTTTTAATTAATGTTTATAAACATTTATAAAAGTAGTTATATAAAAATTTCTCATACTTTTAAAGGAATTTTCACACAGATACCACAAGAACAAATAGTTTACTACTTCTGCTTAGAAAAGTTCTAAGTTTAGACTGCCATCAGTTGAATAACTGTTAAGATCGATAACTCTTAAATCTCTTTAACAGGAAAAAAGTAACCCATAGATGTTACGTAAGGATTGTATCTAATGAAAGATTGACTGATTTTTAAAATGTGTAACACAGTGATAAAAGCAAATGAGAACAAACGTGAAGATAATGGTTTTGTTATATATTAGTGGTTGGAATTTTAGTTAACATTCAGATTGAAGTCAGTGTAGATAACAGTTTCAAACTCCAAATACAATAGACCTGAAAAATCATATCATAAATATCAGTCGATTTCTCTTTTTAAGTGAAAATGATTAAATTATATTACTAAAACTAAGTTTTGTATACAAATAAAAGTATATTTATTTAAGTACTATGTATATGTTCATCTATTTAGGATAGACTAGAACATTTTATATGAACACTAATGTAAATATTCTACTACCTACCTAAACAAGAATACAAAACTTCAATACATTACCAAACAGTTATAAGTCTACTGCTTTATCCACTGAACCTTGTCTTTAAATATCATACCATTTCAATGAAACAAATGGTTTTTACTTTCATTCGATTATACACTCAAAACAACTGGTTGAATACAATCTCATATATTCACTTATACCATCTGAGCTATGACATAATCTATTAAATTTAGATAATACAACAATGCATTTAAAACTCATTATAATAATTTAAAAGATTTCTCATTCATTCTTACGATGCAGGTATCACTATATTCTTTTATATTCAACCATAATTTATTATTACATTTTAGGGTATCGTTATATAAATGATTATTAAAGTATGTGAATAACTAAGAAAAAATATACACTGAAAAAGTACTTAGATAATACATAAACTTAGTTTTATTTACTCGTAAAAGAATACTGTTAAAGAATCTTCATCCTAAAATAATAGTTATATACTATTTCGGATATAGCTAAGGAAGAAACAAATAGTTTGCTTTGATTATTAGAATTAGTTGTTATTGTTGTTGTTATACCTTTATTGAATTAACTATTATTCATATAAATTAACTTGTTATAAATGCCAAATAGTTAAATGATTGTTTTTGTTCATTAGAATACAGGATGTTTGCATTTTACATTATAAATAATTTGTATGTTTTTTTTTGTAAAAGATATTTGGTTTAACTAATTTATGTTAATGGGTAATCTATGGTAATGGTTGTCTTTTTCTTTACTTCAATAATAATAATAATAATTCAGTAAATGTTAATATAAAATTAGTAGAACAACATAATGTCTGATAATTGATCATTATTTTGTAATAGTTCACTTTTATTTAACTCAATTCATATCCCTTTATCGACAAATGAAAATGTATGGATACACATTCAACTATTAGTAGTCATTTAGATTATTCCCTTTATATCACTTGACTTAATTAGTATGTTTATTTAACCATAAACTAATCAATAAACAGGAAACCATTATCATTATTATTACTTTGTAAAATAATAAAGATATTTAATAAATAGACGTCGTACATATTATCATTATTATCATCATCATCATTAGCATTATGATGAACCAGTTGAATTGGTTATTAATCATTAATTCATTGTCATTACAAATCGTTTATTTTTATGAAATTGACTTTTTTTGTAAAAAAATAAATAAATAAACGGCATTACTCATTAGTCCCAAAAAATGAAGGTAAGTAGTCAAAATGACAGAATATCAATGAGATTTTATATATTCTATTTAGTTACTTATCACATACAGCGTCACCATGACTTATTTATGTTTACTTATATTCATGTTTACAATAAATGTTAACTTCACCGAATTCATGATATTCATTATAATGGTTATTGAACAACAGGTTAGATGTACAATTTTCTATCACTTCCTTTCAATGTTTAATAATTAATAAATTAATACAAGGTCACTGTATTCTATCGCTCATCTTAAAAAAAATGACATTTATATCACTTCCAACTTATTTTTATTTATATGTTGATGGGGAAAATGAAATGATAGACTTAATATGGAAAAATGAACAATAACATAATCAATGCATAAAATTATATCATTATTCTCTATAAAAATAACATCATTATGCTACCGATAATATCTCTTAACTACGCCTTTATACCGGGATAGCATAGCTTGCTTTTCTTCTATGGCGCCTGACTCTCAAAAAGACAAATTTTGTAAGGAACATTTATTTAATGGAGACCAAAGAACATTAATTCATAGTAAAAAAAAATCATTCCACCATCATTATTTAAAACGTTTGCCAAAGAGAATAAATCTCACATGAATAAAAGGTCGCGATGATTTAATTAAGGCATATGAAAACTAATTGAGAGTCAGTTGAAATAAAAATTACTTTAAATCAGGACGTGATCGTATAGTTGATTTCTTCCTACTATACTGTATTTTTGGATTTAATATCCCCAACAAAAATATTACATTATCCAATTAAAATTTCAGTTCTTATTTATTTGTTCATTTGCAGTAATTTGCAGAAATTTGGAAGACTCTCCCGGTCTCTCACATTGTATGAGCATTCCATGTACCTAAATAAATGGTTGCTCAAATTGTTCATTTCTGTAAAGTTGTTTTCTCTTTTTTACGTCATCATGTATATTATCAATAACCATTTTAAATTCACTTTTCAATGACCCATTTAATCATTCTGTAACACTCAATTAGTCGAATCTCTCCTATATACTTAGTCATTATTCCATTACACGGAAATTTTTGTTTCAATTAAATTGTAGCTATTTTTTATTCATCTTAAAGCAAAACTCATAAGCATTGTATGTTATAATAATCTTGTAAATCCACCAAATGAAGGATTTTAAGCATAAAGAGATAAGTGTATGGAGTATACATCTTAAAATATTCATTTTAGCTGACTAGCCTTTTGTACTTTCTAGAGTTTGAATATTGAGGAACTTACTGTAGTATATTTCTTAGTCAAGTCGGATAGTAGCTAACAGTGAAAACCAGAACCTACGTTTCATCTCATTCGAGGCTAGTTAACTGGATATGTCTCTATCCCAGTGTCCACAACTCTAACCCATCTCTTTTTTGCCCCAAACATCAATGCATCTTTCATTGAAAGATCCCAAACGGAATAAAAAACACTTCCTTAATTCCATTGATAGCCAGTACCCGACATTACTAAAACAAGCATGTGACCTAAAGTCAATGTCGAAGCAACCCTCTCAGGATGCACAAATACCAAAAACGACTGATTATTTTCAATCCTTGATACAAATCCTTGCAAATTATCGTGGTATATGTCCTGAGAAATATGTATTGTATGATCATCTTCCCCAAAAATAATACTTGGAAACAAATAGATAAGAATAAAGTTATATAAAGTGGGATTAAACTTTTCTTCAGAAATTCCTTTATCCATTTTTTGAAAGCATCTACCACTATTCAATAGCATTTTATTCCCACTATGAATAGTTCTTTTAAGTTTTATTCGGATATAACTCAACAAAATGATTACAACGATACATTTTGCTTGATAGAAGAAGGAGAGATTTTAGTTAATGAACGTTAATCTTAAACTCGTATACAGTTTATACCCATACAAATAAAGTTTTCAAAACATATTTACTAGTTGTTTTTTTCCATTTAGAAAACACTTACTAATTCTTCTGTAGACGATAAATGGTGAAATATATTTTCTTTTGCTTTGAGTTGATCAACTGCTAAAATCTCTTTATTTTTGAATAAATATTTAATATATATTAGAATAGTGATTATACACCCCAAAGTCCATACATCAGATTTATCAGTAAATTCAAACTGACTTGTTTCAGGAGCACACCATTCAATGTATCTGGCTATAAAAAAGTACATGTTATAAAAAATAATTATTGTAATTTATGATTTATCTACTTAAAGATTAGATACACAAATTATAATCAAGTTGTAGGGCCAGCGAAATGTCACTAAGCCCTAGCCAAATCATTGAATACCGAGGAAATCATTGATCCTCGTCAAGGTCAGAGACAACCAACGCGCATAAGTTGGTCGTATGCCATGGACTGGCCCATGCGGCAGTGGTCTTACTTTCGCTTGTATCTACTTTAACTAATATATTTCTATAATAACGTCCTCTGTGTTGTACAATCTTCAAAGCATCTATGGTACCTTGATACGTCAATGGGGTAGTCCACGTAAAGTGCTGACCACGAGGTGTGACTTCGACGTCAGCTAGTTTATCACACCATTCATGTCTAACTCCAACCATTGTGACATAGATCATCTACGTTGGTGATCTACAAAGTCAATTTTACAATTCAGAAAAGATTTATTTCAAACTAACGAATAAACAATTATGAACAAACATATAGAGATCGTTAAATATATCAAAACCAAGTCAATTTTTAAAGTTTTCATAACTAACTTCCCTAAACAAATACTAAAAAACATTATATCGTATCAATCCGAGAGATATATAATTTAATCTACCAACGATATAATCAACAAATATCGCACTTAAATAAAGTGCTATTTATTTTTATCTAAATAATTTGAAATAAGATCAGTATAAATGAGTATCTACGTTCTCAATTAAAAGAAGAAACGATAATTTATAAAGGTTTACTTTAATTGAGCCTGAACAATAATTCAATTTATTCGCTTAATCTTACTGGATCATAGAAGCTGAAAATATCATTCTTGAAGTTAAACTTTAAAGCTTCTTACTATTACGACATTTTCTTGAATACCTACTTTTTTCTATGGACAAAAATAATTTTAAACTTTGATCACTTGTCAAAAATAACCAACTGTACACTTACAATCAGTGATTTTTATTTCTTATTATGGTAGTTACTTTCTCATATGCTTTATAGAGTTATTGCATAAAATCTACCTTTTGTTTAATTTCATTGAATACTAAATTTCTTCTTAATTGTTCTGTTGTGTAACATATCTCCTTACAGGTATCACTATAGTTTATTCACATCAGGTTAAATCATGATGTATTAGACCGATTTACGGATTTATAGCACTCAACCTCCATAACAATGGCCAATGAATTTTACCACCTCTGGAATACTGTACCTTTATTCTGAGTAGTATTGGCACACGAGATAGACTTGAAACAGAGTTTGTTTTGCGGTACCTTACATTTCACATTCTTGGTAGTTGTTGTATCATATGGTACAAATTGATAACCATTAAGCAAGGGCTTGATCCTTGATAGAACAGGTGGTTTGAATGAAATATAATCCTTTTGTTCAAGAAACTAAATAAATCGTTCTTACATCCAGTGTGTTGAATCGCTTTGCTATAGCGTTGCTAACTCAACATTAAAAGTGAATCTTTTTCACTTGAAATTCATTTTTTACGAGGATTACTTACTAATAAAATTTATAAGGTCTGAGCTACTCTAATACTATCTATCCTTGGAACCAATTCGCAAACGTCGTATTTACCCCAGCTTCAATAATTCCCTTGCTTTTGATCCCCCTTAAAAACAAATTAGCGATTATATCTCAACCCACTGGTTAAATTATGGAAAGTTTTAGTTTATGAGCACTGTTTTACTGAGAGTAATTATAAAACTTATCTTCACGATTATATCCAATGCCTTCACTTTTTACGAACTCACACTATAAATTCCTTCCGTCATACGTCATTGAGTACACTTTACCTCATTATTTTGTGGGTGTATAAAGGTCAACGATTTTAAACAAAATCAGTCTATATGAGGATGTAACGAAACAATCAACCCCAAATATGGCGAAAAAGCTATCACAATATCCACTTTTGTGATTCAGTGAACTTTGTTTTCGTTTTCTTCTTCCTAGTCATAGACGATTATAAGTGGGCTTTAAAGGGGATGAAGTCCCTCTTTTGTATGTTATTCATTCATAAGTACAACATCCCAGTCTTCCTTCTACGGAGACATTAGTCTCTAACTCCTGTCTTTAATAACCAATCCATCTTCTAAAACAATCCCAAATAAATGCCATATTAAAGTAATGGAAAGAGTGGTTACGAAAGTAAAAACCTCTAAAATTTTGTCAATGTATCTATGCAGAAAACCTCGTCAATTGGTATTTCACTAGATTACTCTTTGTCCTATAACATGACGAAATGTCGTCTTCATTTAATGTGTGACGGTGGATTTCTTTGAAAACAAGCATTATTGTGATCTAATTTAACTAATCATATTTAGCTAACTGTGCCTCCAAAAAGAAAGATTTTCACAAATCAATGTCAAAACAACACGACTAGATGACAAAATAAAAAATAAAGTGAAATGCTTAGAAACTAATGGGAAAAATATTCTATAATTATAGTCAGACAGGACCGCGATTTATGTTTGCAGAAGACCATGATTATTTTTTGATTTTATTAGCGATCGCTGACTAAATTCATAAGTGTAAATGTAAACCATGGAACGAACACTTTATACTTACGTAAACGTCTTCGTGGGAGTTCATCTGGAGGACATTCAATGGCTAATTCACCTAAAAGATCAGGATTCATTATGTATTCAAATGCTGTAAAGGTAAATAATAGATCAAGGGTTAACGGATCATACAGAATAAGTCACTCAAAATATCTGCCTATAATTAAATCTGATTTACGGTCAGTAACTAAGTTTTTCATAAATAATAAAACAAATAAGACTCCGATTTAGTACAGAAATGTGCGATCAGAACCTCTTTCACGTCTCCTTAAATATGTCTAAACTTTAAAACATTTTTCAGGGTCTCTAACTCAAACTTTGTCACCGTGAAGATTTCATTCTAACTTTAACCATCCCACTATTCTAACTCTCTACTCAGTGGATAGCACTTAACTTACTTGTTTCTTTACTGAAAGTAAGCCAAAATCTTGACTTAGTAATATAATGCTTTGAATCAAAATCGTTAAGTTTACCGGGCAAAATCTAAGATACTTCCTTTAACTGTTATTAGACATAAATACTGAACACTAATTATCAAAAATAAACATTTTCCCAGTATTTGCTGACGCGTGTAGTTAAAGATAATGGTCATAGACTGTGATCGTCGTATCAGTTATGCTCTTCTTATGCAAACTCCAAGCATAGTTAAAAAGTTGTTGAATGAAAATATTTATCTTTTACAATTACATTTGTACTTAACAATTTTAAGACCGTCAGCCAGAAGAATAATAGACTCACTATGGCTCACAAATGGATGGCTGCAATGTTTGTATGTATAACGGTTGGGCGAGACCTTGGTTTATGAACGAAGCAATCAGACTTAAGGTAGCAGATCATTTATTTTGGCTCAAAATTTATTCACATATTTGGCTAAATACCATTTTGACATCATAGCTAATGTCATTTCGTGATGAAAACATTGAATCTAACTTCTAACCCTAACGCTCAACTATAAACCCTTATCCTAATTTCTTACGCTAAAACAAAGCCGTCATTTGCTAGTAAATATGTAAATATTCCAAAGTCATCATACCATTACTCAAATATCGTCCATCAATTGTAGTCCCACCAAAGGTTACTTTAAAGATCACTATGCGCCCAAGTTGAACTCAAATAACAATACTTTCAAGTATGCCTCCTCTTTGACTTGAGTTCTGATCCATTCGTAACAACCAGAGTATTTTAATCTCTCTATTTTGGAGAGAATATTATCTGTTTTGTGAAAATTTTAGGGAAGCCACAACAGAGAGTTTCAGGAAACTTAAACGAAAAAAGCAAAATTTCCTCAGGTTTGAGGAAACCCCCATAAATGTTTGGAAACGTTTGAATTTTCGCTAAAATGTCCCCAAACTTTGGGGAAAACTGTTGTTATTTGAAGTATTTGAATTGCAGTATAAACTAGAAATCCCAGAAATAACGCAACTTAACTGATAAAAAATATATGAGCACGAACAAATGTATTGTATTTGGATTTTGAAATCAAGCAGTCATCAAATACAAACGAATCAGTAGTTCACACAAAAACCCCACATTTGCTCAAAATTGAGAGATGGAGATGGATTAGATAATTTCAGAAATTTCTAGTTAGTTTATCAAATTCTGTCATCATTACGTATTCTAATGACACACTTTCAGACAATAACGTGCTGTTACTGGGAAAACTATTTAATGAATCTTAAGTCTCGCATAAATGTGAAAAGCATTAACTACGTTAAAACTCATAAACATGAAACCCATCTGCTAATAAGGTTCAAACACTGGTACTTATATATTAAAAAAATCTTTGAGCGAAGATAATCAAGTGTTTAGATTTATAATAAACATGCCCAGGTCAAAATGTGTTTAATTTAAAAATAGGGTTCATTCTGGTGTCCTATGTGTGAATAGAGAGAAAATAGTACATTGTCATTAAAAATAATATGGTGTTGCTTATTTTTAACATACATTGCACATAAACATCTACTCCACGAGCATACTTCATCAGATTCGGACCCCAAATATCCGTCATAAAAAATCCTTTCTCACTAAGAAAAATATTACCAGGATGAAAATAGCTTTAAAAGGGTTAACATATGAACAAGTTACATAGAGCCACAATTCGCTTTTTTCAGTGAAGTTATAACAGTCAGTACGCTTCCAAACATTCGGTATATTAACTATTTTTCCTTAAGGTAGATATTTAAAACTGTATTTCTTACATTCCACTCCAACCTAGATTTTTCTATGTCTTTAATTATGGAGTCTAAGCTTGGCAGATCGATATAGTTACGGATAACAGACACATAAATTGCCGAGTTCTTGACATAGGTAATATAAAAAATGAAGTTTACTTCTGAGTTCATTGACATATGAATTTCTAAAATTCTTGATAAGTATGGATGTATAAACTTCTGAATATGATAAAACTCCTCACACAATAAATATCCATGGTCTAGACTTCTACACTCTATCTTTTTCCAGGATTCTGAATGTGAAATTTTCTCTCACCATCTTTAATACAAAATATTCGAAATTATCTCGACGTCTCAACTTATATGATGTTCCTTGACATCCTTTTCCCAAACATTCAACAACCTATGATGAGTTAGAAAAAACAGAATAATCACTTCGTATTGATCAAGAATTCCCGTCATATGATTATGATCTTTGTCAAGCATCTCTCAATTCAAAAACGATTTGTAATTATCACCGTGCCAACGAAATCGAAAAAACACGGAAGCAATAGCTGTGTTGGTTCAAGGTCGAATGAGTTATCGTGTCTGCTACTTCTTCAATGGCGATAACTGTTGTATCCAGTACATTCCATCATCTTCCCACCTATCAAATAGACCACTATTATATTTGCACGACTCAGAACTGCTTGTTTTTCACTCAACTAAAGAACCGTTTTCCAAACAACATTTCTAATCTACACCACTTCCACATGGATGAAACTATTATCAAAGCCATCTCGAAGACATACCAGATAAAAAAGGGTTTTGATGGTGGAAAATACTGTCACGAATGCAGTAACAATGGCTTCTCAAGTCTAAAATGTTGGGGACTAAAAGAGAAAAATAAACGTATGAGTGATCAAATAATGAGAACTGGAGTTAAGGATTATCTTTAGTATCAAGACGTCAAATAACTATCGCACACAGAATATTGGGGAACAAATAGAAGCACTTTTTGATGTGCATTCTACAGAGATTGTTCCGGTGGTTGATTTCTTGTTCTTGAGGAAGCCCGGTGCGAGGTACTCAATGATCTGATGGTTCCTGAGGCCTCAAGATACGTATGCAACCAGCTTTACCGCCTGCTGTACATTTTAACAACTGCCGAGTGAATGGAAGTGATTCTTATTCTACATTTCAAATTAGGAGCTTCAAGGACTGCTGACTGGAAGCCAGTGTCTTTGAACCCAGAACCTTCAAATTATTAGAAATTATATTTGATGATCAGTTGAGAGAGTTCATAAATAAAACCGCACTATCCTATGACACAGTATAAGGAAATAGGAAATATTATATCTACAAATACAAAGAACAAACAACGCCAAATCCAGTCGCAAATTTCTTTTTCTAATGATAAGTTACATAGTTAATTGATCTGGTTACCAGCCTTAAATTAGCTGAATGAGGATGCAGCAAACGCAAACTTGGGTGTCTGAATACCCGAGGTAGAGCACAGGAAACCGTGGTTCACTGATCTTCAAAAACGGTTGAAAATTAAAACTGCAGCGAGACAGTAAGTCTGAAAAGGGAGCATTTGGTCTTCTAAAAAGGATGCTGCTTGCATAGATAACAGAAGAATAAAATCCAACCCTCAGTTTCCAAACTTACACAGTCATGTTCACAAATGCCTCGGATCAACACGAAAATCGCGCTCCCTTAACTGATCACCTGATGCGCAGCACGATGTCTCGTATCAGTAACCTTATTCTAGCAAAATTTTGAATACCAACACGGACGATCGAGGTAGTCTTTCCGCCTATCATCAACACTCTCTTTGTCTGTGATTACTTAATCTCCTTTATCTCGGGATAAACCGGTAAACAACATAGTTCCCCTTAAATGGGCTGATGAGCTTCAGTACTTGACGAAATGATCAGTAAAATGATGCCACAAATATCAATATCAATTTTCTCCGCAAAATAAACAAGTTACTATAACTGATTTTATACATAATTTTTGATAACACTTCAAAATCCCATCAACCTAGAAGCATTGTGCGCACTTTCAATGTGTCCATTAATTTCAAACAAACTATGAGATATGATTTCACTACATACTCTCCACACATCGCATGGGCAATGCATTGTTTGTGGACCCTAGGCATTAGTTGGGTTCGAACTTCAAACAAGATTTTTCGCTGTAATGAGTAAAATCTTCAAAGTGACTTCTCTAGGTCCAAAGCTAGAACGCGACGTCTGGGACAGATTTTAGATACAGATATGTTATTCTAAAACGTCAAGTATAAACTGAGTAATACATTTGACTGCCTTTTGAGCACTGAGTTTGTCTAAATCTCCTTACCACATTTACGTGAAAGAGGACCAATGCAAGGGAAAGTGATGATCTAGTAAGCACACAGACGACATTTATATTCACAAATGGTTGTAGTCCACAACAAACTACACTACGTAAATGGAGAATCAGGAAAGCCCAGCTGTTGGAACAACGATAAAATATTCTGGTTACACCTAGGTGTGACGAATGAAAAAAGATTGTTCGAACGACTGCTTCAAACATTGCAAAAGGGAACAGTTTCTTATCAAGGGGACAACATGGTCTGAGGAAAGGCTTATCTTACTTGACAAATTTGTCACTGACAGAGAAGACTGGGTTGCGAATAAACATAGAAATATTCCAGTAAATGTAATTTTCTTAGATGAAAGAAAAGAGTTCAACGAGATCTCTCATCTGGATCTGAAATAACAATATGAGAAATTTGGGATCCACTATGAAATCACAAACTCCATAGGTGACTCTCCCAATAACATTAGGAAACGAGTACGAGTAAGTGAATTTCTATCAAAGAGAGAATCTTTAAAAAGTGTAGTTAGTCAAGGTGTACTCCTTTTAACTGTATGTGACTTACCAACTGTGGCAAAGTCATCTGTTCCACTTTTCGCAAATGAAACTAAGAGTTGGAGACCCATACACACCATTTCACATTGAATAATATTACGGAATGACCTAAATTCACTGGTATAATGAATGGGGAGTTGGTCACTGAAAGTTAACTCTAAAAAAAATGTGATCTAAATAAATAACTGTGACGATTCATATGACTACACAATATGTGGATGTGTGTTGCCTAAAGTAGTGGGCTATAAAGATCTAGGAGTCACAATAAGCAACGACCTTAATACTACGAGCAACTCCATGGCTGCCATTGCCAAAGGATTCAAGGCCTTATGGGCTGTTCATAAGTCGTTTGAACACTTGCATAAAAAAGTTCTAAGGGTATTATACCCGACTTTTTGAGGTCGCTTTCGGACTATGTATTTCAAGAAGGGATTCCTTATTCCAAGCATAAGGCTGATATGCTAAAACGAATTCAACGACAAGGGACTAAAATTGTAAAAATTCTCTGTGACCTATCTTATGAAGACACACTGAGAAACCTCAACCTATTTCCGTTACCTTACCACAGGTTACAGGGTGGTGAAATACTGTCTTGCCGTATACTGGACTGTGATTTCGCTATTAATATGTCTTATCTTTTGCTTTCATCTTGAACTGATAATTTAAGATGACATTATAAGAAAGCTCAAAAACCGAGATCTAATCTTTTACGTGTGGAGCTCCGTTTCTCGCATCTTCACCATGTTTGGAGATTGCATGCTTGAAAGGGGGTATCTCCTCATACTCGCACCAGATACACTCACTTCCTGGTTCTGGGAAACTGCAATCTCCCTTAAGTCAACTTCACTGAACATGTGTACATTACAGGTGACAGCTCTACTGAAGCTCGGTTCTTTAACTTCCGAAGATCTGGGATTGTTCGAAAACGTCAAATCAGAAACTTGTTGGAGAAATAGTCAGACTCCGTTGCGCTTAGACTGCACATTTGTAAACAAATAATTCCTACTTGACAACTCGGTCTTGTCTTCCCTGGAATAAAGTGGTCACGCCATCATAGCTTTCAATCTTATCTGTAAAACTAAACTAATGCGTCTTACCAACAAAAGGCTCTGGAATTTCAAACGGTTGCATGTATCAGCTATACAAGACAATCTGCAACTGGTGAATTGGATAGCTCACCCTCAACTAGACGTGGACGCTCATTTGGATTTCTTGCTGCTCACGATCTTATGTACTACAAGTCAGTCTGCCTCGCAAACGGCCCTCAAAACCTATAAGCAACCTACATACATCAAGAATCACACTCTTCGTTTGCTAAGCCTCAGAAGGCACTATTAGGAACACCACTTGACGTAGTGTTCTGACACCCACCAAATCGAAGCACGGTACCAGAAAACTGGAAACTGACACACACTACGCCGATTTTCAAAGGAGGTCGACAGAGCACAACTTCAAGCCACAGACCGGTAGCACTTCTCTCGATACCCTCAAAAATTATGAAGTCCCTGTTAAGCGACAACCATGTGACTAATTACTATCCACACACTTTTTTTCGCCTCAATAGCGTCGTTTCGGAAAATGTCACTAGCACACAACCAACCTGCTGACCACGGTGGACAGATGGACAACCATCCTTGACTGAAAGGAGAAGGTTGACGTCATACTGCCTTGACTTCTGGAGATTCTTTGATAGAATCAGTCATATTTATATTAACAATAAGTTCAAATGATTGGGTATCAAATCACCAATAATTGATTAACTTACTTCATATCTAAATAATCTACTTTTAAGGTCAGTGGTAACTTCACTTTTTCTGAGGCTATAATACACCCTATTGGGGCCCCTAAAGGTTCATTACTAGGACCTCTTCTTTTCTTAATCTGTATAAATTACCCTCCGCAGCAGACATTGTCAGATTTATTACTTTTCACTGGCGGTGTGAAACCCTGGAGAAAAGTTTACAACCAAGATGATCAACTGGTACTTTTAAAGGGTTTGGCTCAACTTGAAGGTTTGGCAGACAACAGAGTACTTGGCTTTAATACTTCAAAGTGTAAAGCAGTCTATTTAAGACATGTTGCAGATCATGAATAAAACTTAGTTAACTCCTCTCTAGAGGCAACCTAGGTTAAAAATGGTCCAGGTTGGTTGGCATCTAACGATCTGATGTCTTACGCTAACTTCAACAAAGATGCCTTCCAAGCAAACCTTTCACTGGTAACGTTGAAGCGCATTTTCGGCCAGTTCGACAGAAGAACCTTCTACATGATCTTCAAAAGTTTTATGCTACCCATTTAGAGTATGGGAACACAATGTCACTCTGAAAGGATTAGGATACATCGGAACGTATTCAACGACGAACCATACAATCAGTTCAAGGACTCGAATTCAAGTCTTATGAAGAGTACCTCCAATCAATGAACCTTTACCCACTAGAGTACAAGTGTCTTAGATGTGACCAAACAACTTACAGCATCCTAAACACTACTGGGCATCTCCTTAAGTATTTACTTAAGCTTAGCCTTAACACCAAGGAGCTAAAGACATAACACAATAGAACGGACTGTGTGCACACTTTCTACTCCTTACGAGTAGTTAAATGCTTAAATCCACAGTCGACTGAGCTAGTCTAATCGACTT